TTTAATCTTCATAATTTTGAATAGTTTGCCATTAATTAACTCCAAAAACAAAACCCTGTAATTTTAATGTGAGAATTTAGAAATCATATTTCAGGGTTGTCCTCCACATTCATGCAGGAAGGAGTAGGGGCTATAAATGTCTGGTTTTTTTTCCTAATCAGAAACAATCTTGAGAATCACTAAATTTAACTCTAGTTGTCAAATAGCAGGAGTGGGAACATGACTGGTTTCCAAATTCAAGTCTTAGCAACCATTTGGTATGTTCTAATCTGTGCTTTAGCCATACACCGATAAGGAGTGAATGCTGTGGAGGATATGTAAGTGATAAAAGGAGACAGCAGGGGGCAGAGCTAAGGGGGCAGAAAGCAAGTAGTTAAAAGTTGAATTACTTCCCACTGTAACTCAGATTATATTACCTAGTTTTAACTCAACTACCCATAACCATATGGACAAGTTGTCTAAAAAGTTTCTTACAAATGTTACTAATAATGATACACAAGTGAGTAAGAAAAAAAAAATTACAAAGCTGCTCTTTCTTTTACTTCTAGTATGATCTCTTGGTCAGCCACATTATGAAGCAAAATAAGTGATAGTCTTATCAAATCTGACAAAAACTCCACCAAAAACATATAAAAGATTGTTTCAAATATGAATTTGTGTCTACTATCATTCATGATGACTTCCACTCTTAGTACATGTTGTGTTTTGAGTTATTGGCTAATGATAAGACAAAGCCACTATGATAAGAATGATATTGCGTTGGTTAAAAAGATTTATCTACTATAAAAACTTATACATCTACACACTTATGAAAACTTAGATTATATAATTTTCTGACCTGTTTAGAAACCTTCCAAAGTAAACCAGTGGGTTTTTAATCTATTTGTTAAAAATATAAAGATTTAGCATCTTATAACTATTTTGCAAAACAAAATATTGTCATTGGGGAAGATGGAAATTTACTAGCCAGTTGTCAGCAAAAAGTTTGCATGATTGGTATATATGATTGGAAAATAATATGAAAGGAAAAGGACCTTGATGTACAAAAATATTTATAGCATCTCTTTTTGTGTTGGCAAAGAATTGATATCAAGAGGATGTCTACGGATTGGGGAATGGCCGAACAAGTTGTGATATATTATTGTGATGGAATCCTATTGTACTGTAAGAAATGACAAACAGGAATGTTTCAAAAAGAAATTGGACAGACTTATGTGAACTTATGCAAAGTGAAGTGAGCAGAACCAGCAAAAAACATTGTACACAGTAACAGTGAAATTGTAAGGAGGATCAACTGTGAAAAGTTTAGCTACTCTGATCAAGACAATGATCCAAGACAATTCCAGAAGATCTGATGAAAAATGTCGTCCTGCTCTAAAGAGAAAACTGATGAACTCTGAAAACATATTGAACCATATTTTTTCTACTTTATTTTGTGGGGTTTTTTTGTTTGTTATTTACTACATGCATGATCTCATACATATAATTGAAGTTGAATTCCTTGCCTACTCAAGGAGCAGGGGAAGTGCTGGAGGTAAAGCGAGAATTTGGAACTCAATTTTTTAAAATGCATATTAAAATTTTATATATAATTGGGAAATATCTAATGAAATAAAAACAATTATAAAACAAAATCAAGATTTAGGAAGTGAAGCCATTGATGGACTTTTCCCATATAAATCTATTTATCAGTGTGAAGCTGTTGTAGCTATGACATGCATTAATATCAAATATGTAAATAAAGTAAATTTAGAGTGAAACATTTAGATTAGTGTGTCATAAAATATTTAAGATTTTCAGAAATAATGAAGTTTCTTCAATCACATTGCTTTCACTTAAACATATTAATTAATAACAAGTTTAATGTCTTCTACTTTAAGGGTACTTTCCATGCTTGTATCTGACTAGCATCTTATTAATATTTATTTATGGGCTTTTTATCCCCTTTCTTAGAATACAAGCTCCTCAACAGCAAAGACTATTTTCACTTTTCCCATGTATTTCTAACAAAACACAGCATCTGACAAATGGTAAGCACTTAATAAAATTTTTGATTGATTGAGAGCAAATATGTTTTTGAAGCATTAAAAATTTAATACAAGTAATTAAATTTTACTTCATCTTATGACATTCTTTTAATTATAATATTTTATACATATTATAATATACATAATTTGTACAGTATACAAATATCTAATTCATAAATAAGCAAATGAATAATGAAACAATCGTATATGGTACTATATGCTCAAAAACGTTTGGAAACTACTGGTCTTTAGGATACATTTAAAGCACGTTAGCTAGGAATTCAAAGCCTTCTACAATATTCTTCCCCACAAGACCTGCTACAATACTCTTTCCTACAGAACAATTTGTATTTACTTAACATAGATTTTATTTTAAATTATAAGTGCACATGCTATTTTCCTCAACATAATGAAAACTCCCTCAATCAAATAGCAAACATTTATGTGAGCCTAGTATATGTCATATACTATTTTAGGCACCAAATACACAAAGACAAAAATGAAGTAGGCTTGACAATCAGGAAATGCACATTCAATAGTAGAAATCAGTATGTGTACATAGAAATGTATGCAAATATGTGCCTCTCTGGTATATGTCTCTGTGTGTATGCATACACATATACACACATATTGTATATATACACACACACATAATAATTTGGAGGAGGATAGGGCATTAGCACTTGGAGGAATCAGGAAAATCTTCATAAAGGAAGTGGTCCTTATGCTGAACTCTGAAGGAAGCTATATATTCTAAGAGGTAGATTTGATGTTGAAGAGTATTCCCCGAAATTGGAGATAGATATGGTAAAGGCATGATGCTGGGAAGAGTGTCAGATTTCAGTAATAGCAGGAAGCCTCATTTCTAGCTTGATTAAGGAGCCATTGAAGGAGAAAATTAATGTATTGTATCATATAACATGATATGATATATGATACAATATAATACAATATGATAATATAATATAACTAGAATATGCCTAATATGTGTGTGTGTGTGTGTGTGTGTGTGTGTGTGCGTAGATAGAGAGGGAGACAGAGACAGAGACAGAGACAGAGAGAGAAGGTAGGTTGTAACCAGTTTGGGAGGAGTCTTAAATGACAAATGAAAGAGTTTTATTGGATTCAAGAGGTAATAGAGAACCAACAGGTGTTAATTGAACAAGTGACTGATGTGATTAGCTCTGTGCCTTTGGCACAGATGATAAAGGTGAAGTGGAACTAGGGTGACGGCAGTGTGAATTAAGGGAAGAGAATGGATAACATAATTGACAGATATTGTGGTGGTAGACTAGATGTGATGTGACAATTTTTTGGATAGGTGAGTTGAACAGAATTAGTGCAAACTCAAATCACGTTTGCCTAAGCCAATGTTAAATTTTCAGTATGAACATTTACACCTTAGAAATCAGCTACATGTCAGACCCTAATTTATTGTCTTATTTATTGTCTAGACTTATGAAAATTCTAATAATATAGGGTAAATATAAAAAAGTATGCACATACTTTTTTTTCCCCCTGGAGAGCCCAAATGTTAAACATTTACTGCTACAACCCTGTATTGATCTATAAACATTTGTTGAGTTCAATAAAAGTGGAGCAGAAGGCTCATGTAATGAAATCATTGCCAAACTAGAAGACTGGGGACTATAGCCTAATAGTAATACCACCACCACTACCACCATCACCACCACTAACTATAATAACTGGCTTTTGTATGGCACTTTAATGCTTTTCCTCTTTTATCTCTCATTTGAGACCCACCACACCCCTGGAGACAATGAAGAGTGAGATGATGAGAAAGATTTAGAGGTTTTGAACCTATTAACTGGAAAGATGGAGGTCACCTTGACATAGATAGGGACAGAAGTGACCACATTTCATTTTTGTAGTTGCGTTACTAGCTTGCCTAGTGATGCCTAGTCTGCCACCTGGTATATAGCAGGTGATTAACAAATGTGTATTGCAAGATTGATGGATTTTTGTCAATTAATCATTCAGTTAAACATTAAGTGCCTACTATGTGCCAGAAATTATTCTAAGTACTGGGGCTAGATTGATTTAAGATCCCTAAATCAGCAACCAAACTCTCCTCCTCCCTCTGTCACAAAACTTCCCTCTTAAATAATAACCAAATACCTTGCTTTGATGTCTTTGACAATAGCCATCCAACTGTACTTCCCATTTAGCCATGTACTTTGGTAAAACAGACAGACACATTTCATTTCAAGTGCAACATAAAGCCCCTTTGCTGCTTTTTGATATTCATTCCTTTGTGTAAGGAAAGCCCTTCTGCTTTTCTGAATTCTAGTAATTGTCTTGTTTGTACTCCCCTGCTGCCGACCTTTGCTTCATACCAACTGCTTGTAAGACATGGCTTGAATACTAAAAAGAGAGGGCTTCTCTGAGAGCAAGAGATATATATTGAAATCAAAAATTCGTCTAAATTCATTGTTTTCCATTTCACCAAATAATCCTTCTGGTGACCCTTTCTGCTCTGGATTTGAAGGCACTTCGCAAAATAATAACTAAAATAAAAACTGATTATTCATGTTTACATGGCCCACCTAGAGGTTCAAGTTGATTTTCTTTCTTTATGGAGTTTATATCGTTCTTCTATTTTTTTTCCTTTTCTGAATGTCTTTGTTTTGGAAAGCTATCACTTTTTGGACATTATCTATTTAAAAATGGACCAATGACATCAAAAGTTAGACATTAAGGTATTTCTTTTCCTCTACAGTAGGTGCATCCACATGCCAACTAACAGTCTGGGGAGAAAGCACAAAAGAATATATTAAAGAAGCCCAAAGCTGGAGGTGTAAGAAAGAATCTTAGAATAAAATAAATCTTCATTTTACAGATTAAGAAGCTTAGATCCTATGTAGAGTATGTCAGAGACAGGATACTTCCTCTGAATTTTTAGTACTTTATTGTTTCTGATGGTGTCAATTTTGTTAGTTATCTCTCACTTACCTATAGATTAAGTTGCTTGAGGGTAAGGTCCTTCTTTTGTATCCTCAGTAGTTCTTGAGATGGGGGCAGCTAGGTTGTGTAATGCACAGTGCTGGGCCTGGAGTCTGGAAGACCCATCTTCATGACTTCAAAATCCAGTGTTAGACACTTACTAGCTGTGTGACTCTGGACAAGTCACTTATCCCTGTACTTTATCCCTCAGTTCCTCATCTGTAACATAAGCTGGAGAAGGAAACGGAAAACCATTTCAGTATCTTTGGCAAGAAAACCACAAATGGGGTCATGGAGAGTCAAACACAGCTGAAACAACTGAACAAGAACAACAAAGTTCTTAAGATAGATAGACACATAGTAGGCTCTCACTAATGATGTTAAGTTATATGGGTAAAGGTGGATCATAGAATAATCGATCTAGAGCTTGAAGAGACCTAAGTAATAAAAGATGCAGAGTTTTAAAGGACCTTGAATATCATCTGGTCCATTCCTTTAAGAGCTGAGGATATGCAGAGAAGAAAATTGCTTGCGTAAGGTCATACAGGCAGCAAATAGCAGAATTGAGACGAGTCTCATATCTTTTCACTCCAAGTCCACAGCTTTTCCCACTACATCAGGATGCTCCATGTTTAGGAGAACAAAGAAATTGAAGCTCAGATAGGTTAAAAAAAACCTATTCAAAAAATCAGCAGTAGAACTTTCTTTTGGCTATCACACTGGTCATATTCAGTCTTCAGAAACATCAAGGAAGTGCAGAAATAATGGGAAAATGACACCAAATGATGTGTATGCTTTTATAGTCATTTGAGTCAACAACAAAAAATAAATTTTTTGTACCACCTAATCACAAATGAAGATTCCTTTTAATTGGATGCTACCAGCCGTGGAAAAGAGATTTCCTTTCTAAACTTAAAGAGAGGGAAAGTGTGAGTGCCTTGGGGCATCTGGAGTTTTAAGTGACTATGACCTTTACTATTAAAAAAATAGATTTTATTGATACTCATGCTCTTTCCATCATAGTCATTTCTGAATGAAAATATTCCTCCTCATACCAATTTTGAGTTACCTCTCTGATAACCAAGAAAAACAAACAAAACACCCCAAAATTGACTATATATGACAATGAATGTAAACTTTTACTTGAGTAGATTTTCACATCTTTGCCATGAGGAGGATGAACAGATCACCACTGGCTTGTCCACATATTGAAATTTTGGCCTCCTTTTAATCATCATCATTGATTATTAAAATCAAAATCATTGCTTTAATTATTGTCTATTCATTTCCAGTTATTATTCTGTGTAGCTCCCTGTATTTCTCTGAATTATTCACATTTAAATTTTATGGAGTTATAATTTATTATTCTATTCATATGCCATGTTTATAAGTGATGGTCTGAGCCCCTGTATGTATTACTTATTATTTATTGAAATGGGAAATGCAACCCCATTCCATAGTGGACAGAGCCTTGGGTCTGGAATCAGGAAAATCCAAATTCAAATCCAGTCTCAGATACTTGTAAGCTGTGTAACCCTGGGAAAGACACTCAACCCCTGCCTGTCTCAATTTCTTTATCTCTAAAATAAGGATAATAATACTACTTAATTTTCAGGGTTACTGTAAGGACCAAATTAAATAATATTTGTAAATCACTTTGGAAATCTTAAAGTGTTATATGAGTGCTAGCTATTATTATTATTATTATTATTATTATTATTATTGAACATAAGAAATAATTATATTAGAGTGATTGCTTTATTGTAATGGCTTTCACTTGCATGTTCAATTCATAGTTTTCTCTGAAGCATGGCTATGTCTAACCTTGTAATTTGCATATTAAAAATTCAAATGGTTTTTTGAAACTAATTGGGGTTTGGTATGCATTTCCCATGATGCAGTAGCTTCTTTGTAAGGTAATTCGCAAGAAATTATTAGTCCCTGAATTGAACAGTTCACCCATATTGTGACAACATCTACTTGGCAAGGTCACTAACCATATGCAAACCTAATGTTAATTTTGAAAAATTGTCTGCTATTGATTTGTCCTCCACAAAATAGTCACCTGCATCTGAGAACTACGAATATTTTGAACACATATACAAGCTGAGTTGTTTGAATAGATAACTATGAGAGTCCAGAAAAAATGTTTGTGAACTCAGTTGAGTGTATTCTGACCAATTAGTACAATTACATCTTCTCATTTTTTTGTTGATAAATAGTATTCTATTTTTTTCTAACTACTTGTAAAGATAGTTTTACATTCATTTTTATAAGATTTTGAGGTCTAAATTTCCCCCCATTCTTCCCTTCTCTCCCTACTCCCCAAGAAGGCAAGCAAGCTGATATAGGTTATATATGTGCAATCATGGCAACATATTTCCACATTAGTCACGCAGGAAAAGAAGAAACAGAACAACAACAAAAAGTGAAAATAGTATGCTTCGATATGCATTCAGATTCCATGGTTCTTTCTCTGGATGTGAATAGCATTTGACATCATGAGTCTTTTGTAATTGTCTGGGATCATTGTATTGCTGAGAAGATTGCTAAGTCAATCACAGCTGATTGATGCATAGTGTTATTGTTACTATGTACAATATTCTCTGAGTTGTGCTCACTTCACTTAGCATCAATTCATATAAAACTTTCCAGGTTTTTCTGAAATCCATCTGTTCATCATTTATTATAGCATGATAGTATTCCTTTACATTCACATACCACAGCTTGTTCAGCCATTCCCCAACTGATGGGCATCCCCTCAATTTCCAACTCTTTACCACCACAAAAAGAGCTCCTATAAATATTTTTTTACATGTAGATCCTTTTCCTTTTTAATGATATCTAGTAGATGTATTGTTGGATCAAAGGGTATACACAGTTTGTAATGATAAATTGGTGAAATCTCTTTGTTGACATTTTATTTTAAATTCTGGCAACAATATTCATTAGAGGAATTGGTCTATATTTTTCTTTCTTAGTTTTGGCTCTTCCTGGTTTAGGTACCAGTACCATATTTGGGTCATAAAAAGAATATGGTAGGACTCCTTCTTTGCTTATTTTGTCAAATAGTTTATATGGTATTGGAATTAATTGTTCTTTATATGTTTGGTATAATTCACTTGTAAATCCAGCTGACCCTGGGGATTTCTTTTTAGGGAATTCATTTATGGCTCATTCATTTTTTTTCTAATATGGGGTTAAGTATTTTATTTCCTCTTCTGTTAAACTGGGATATGTGTGTGTGTGTGTGTGTGTGTGTGTGTGTGTGTGTGTGTGTGTGTATTCCTTTCTACCACCTTTCAATTTTCTCCAGAGATTGAACATATCTAACTTTTCTAAAATTCTATTCACCTCTTTAACCTCTTTCTTGTTTATTTTGTGCTTAGATTTATCTAGTTCTGAGAAGGGGAGGTTGAGGTCCCCCACTAGTATAGTTTTGCTATTCCTTCCTGTAACTCACTTAAGTTCTCCTCTAAGAATTTGGATACCACTTGGTGAATATATGTTTAGTATTGATATTATTTCATTGTCTATGGTACCTTTTATGAAAATGTAGTGTCCTTCCTTGTCTCTTTTCATTAGTTCTATTGTTGCTTTTTCTTTGTCTGAGATTGGGAGTACTCCCCTGCTCTTTTGCTTCAGCTGTAGTATGCAGATTCTGTTCTAGACTTTTACTTTCATTCTGTGTATGTGTCTCTGTGCTTCAAATGTGTTTCTTGTAAAAATATATATTGTAAGATTCTGTTTTTTAATCCACTCTACTATCCACTTCTGTTTTATGGGAGAGTTTGTTCCATTCACATCCACAGTTATGATTACTAACTGTATGTTTCCCTCACTCGGTCAATTTTGGTCCTTCCTTTTCCAAGCTGTTGCTTTTTTTTCATAATTCTCTTGCATAACTCTCATTACTTTTCCAAATTTTTCTTCTACTTCTCTTACTTGAGTTTTAAAATCTTTTTAAAGTTCTCCTGAAAGGACTTTTTGGGCTTGAGAACAATTCATCTTTTCCTTTGAGACTTCACATGTAGGCATTTTGACATTGTTGTCTTCTTTTGAGGTTTTTTTTTTTTGGTCTCCTTTGTAACTATAGTAATTTTCTATAGTCAAGGCACTTAAAATTTTTTTTTAAATTATTCTTTTTAAGTTGATTTCTGCTCCTGGGGTACAGAGGGCATTCTCCCAAGCTTCTTGCACTGGGGGCCAGGGGTCTGGCCACTGACTTTCTGCACTGGGGCCTTGCTGGCAGCTTCCCCACTGTGCTAGAGTGGCCCACTCTAGTTGTTCTTGTTGTGCCCTAAGTCATAGGACTGGCAGTTTGCCTGCTGCTCTGTGGCTAGAGCCCTCACAGGTGGCCTACTGTGCCGTTGGCCTGTTAAGTCTGCACTTATGGCTCCTTGATTGCTATTCTGTGCTGTGTCTAAGAGCTTCCTGTTGGTTTGCCTGGATACCGCCTGCTCTGGACTGTCTTCACCCATTACCCAAGTGAAACATCTTGAGCTGGAAAATTGCTTCATTCCTTCTTTATGTGGAATCTTTTGCTCCAAAATTCTTTTAGAGGCTTGATTTCACCTTGTTTCCAAGGAAAACTGGGAAGAGCTCAGGCTATTCTCTCTACCTGGCTTCTCTCTACCATCTTAGCTCTGCCCCACTCACACCACAGTACAACTACATGTTTAAGGCAAAACACACAATAAGAAATATTGTTAAGCTCTGGCAAAAGCAAGTTTTTTTCCCCCTCTCTGCAGAGTAGCCCAAAACTACATTATTTCTGCAGTCTTATCCTGTGGTGCTAATACGAAATCTGACACTTCTTTTAGCATGTTTATAGCAGATGGTGGAGGAGAAGAAAATCTGCAGACCTAAATGAGTGCATCCTTTCCTTATACAAGGTGATTGGAGGAGCATTCCCATTTAAGCTCAAGTTATCTATTTGAGATCTAGTACGGCCTTCAGTATGGCCTATGGGAAAACATATGAGTAGTGTTTTATATTTTATTTTTGCGTGTTAATGGTAACATTGACCACAAGTTCTGAGCAAGGCCTAATTCATGAATGATTCTAACAAAATGGGTTATGTCACAAAATACGTAACAAAAATATTTA